ATAATGTCGTCGCAACATATATTTATCGTGAAAAATTAAAAGGGCAATGAGTCAATTTGTCGCAACTTTTATTCCAAAAAAGTTTTAATGAGAAAAATATTTGTTGCGAATATTATTTTAAAAGTGTAATTGTTGTTATCTATTCTAGTTTGCAACAACACATGCTAGTAGTAATATATATTTTATAACAAGTCATGTTTGTCGCATAATTCGTTTAAAATGTGTTTGATGCGTTGCTTAATATATTTTAAGATATTCAATGTTTATTGTACAATTTATTTGAAAACAAGTTGTTTTTGTAGTTAAATTTATGTTGTGACACAAAAAGCTTGTTGCGTGATCATTTGTGCAATAATGTGAAGTTGTTGCCTAATTTATTTTATGATTATTTATGTATGTCGCATATTCTATTTCACAACATATAAAATTGTCACACAAATTATTTTGTGGCAATGAATATTCATTTACGTGACAAATTATGTTTGTAACTAAATTTATTCACAACGCAAAGTTTGACGCTTCATCATTTATGCAACGATGTATAGTCGTTGCCTAATTTATCGTCTATATTTATATATGTCATAGATTTTATTTTACACAAGAAATAGAGTTAATTTTTGTTGAAACAGAATTTACCAATGAAAACATAAAATAATTTTAAACAATATTTTCAAAAAACATAAAATAATTTTAAATTATAAGAATGGTTGATCTAACTATCTACCTATTGAAGGCACTCTATCTTTTACGAGTCGAATACCCATCTTCAAGAAATATATAACCTGCATACAAATGAAAAATTGTCATAAATTTCATAGAATCTAAGTTCTATCAAGAAAAATACATTAAAATTTTCAACTGAATTACAATTCTTTTTTTTTTTTTTTTTGCCATTCATTATGTTGAGGGAAATTTAATAATCTGTTTCCTTTATCTTCGATAAAGATAATGTAAAATTATAATAAGATTTTATCATAATTCTTAACAAATAATTTGTTATTCTTTCAAATAAATTCACAATTCATGCGCGAATTCTACACTGAAATAGTTGGTTTTTAGGCATACCCCCAAAATAGAATAAAATCATAATCTAAACCAACCCAATTTCAAGTCTCCAAAATGTTGACAATCAACTAAACGATTAATGACGTCTGAAATTTGAAGTAAATTTTAAAATATTTAAATGACATTTTTTTTTCACCTTTGTAGTTACTATAATTTCTAAGGCTACACGTAACGATCACTCAGCTAAAAATATTAACATTAAATTCTATATTTTAACTTTTAATACCATCGTGAAAAAAATGACATTATGTTTCTGTTGGAAAATTATTTCGATATTGTGCATATCATATTCATAAACACATGCCGTTTATGCTCACGAAATCTAAACGTAATTTTGTCTTATCGAAATGGATTTGGGAAGTTGAAACGACAGATTCAATCATTTCGTTTCTTTATTTCAAATCTACATGAAATCAAAAGAATGTTATTAATTTTTCTGAAATCGAATACGAATAAAGAAATTAGAAAGAATCAAGGTGAGATGCGAGTGATGCGATCAACCGAAGCAAGTGTTAGACATTTTATCCTTAAGATGAATTTGCCTCGCATTGGTGCTAATAATTTTTTGACAATCATCTCTTAAGATACAACGATCACGTCAAGCCATAGGAGCAATCCAAATGATTTCGACCGACGAACTCGAACGGAGTTCTCCCTCTACAATAACCATGACTTTAATGCAAGTATTTTATGCAAACTTAAGTGTAAGCATGGAATGAAATGATATGAAACTATCTATTGACTTTCATGAATTTCTTGAATAATAAAATTCAAACACATGTGGTCTATTTATAGTAGTTGGAAAGCTATGTCAAAAGATACGACCATACTAAGAGTCACATCTCTTAAAATTCATAATTACTGGAAAATGATTATGCCAAAAGTCATGATCATTCATATGAAATTACATATTTTCATCCAACTCTTTTTCTAGAATATTCCACAATATTCTATATATATTTCCAACAGTTTCATGCACATTAGTATTGATTAACTACGCGTCATGCCAATGATAGAAGTTTGTAGTAAATTTCTAAAGGGTAATCGAAGTAACTTTCTTACACTATTGGTCGCTAAAATTTCTAAAGGTTATATTAAGGGTGGTTATATTAGCGTCACAATTTTTATTTGTTGCACAACATTTTAATTTTAATTAAACTCCTCAATCTTTGCACGTTGTTGCAATTATTTCCTTAATTTTCTCGCCAAATTTTTATCTTCAACTTTCCATTAGTTAGTATATCTTGTCCTTGATGATGATTTATATCAAAATATTTTGTTTCTATACTTTGAAATGAGGGATAGATATTTTTTCGTACTTTTTTATTTGTTTATTTTTTAAAATGTGATGGAAGAATAAGTTGTTATACGTTATTTCAACAGACCTTTTGGATATAAATTGTTATAAAAAAAATCATGTTAACTAATAGAAACTTCGAGGACAAAAATATCATGAAAAATTTTAAGGATATAAATGCTATAATGAATAAAGATTGAAAACCTTAATTATAATTAAAACGTGGTGCAAGAAATAAAAATTGTGGTGAGAATATAATTACCCTTACATTAACTATCGCTAGATTAAGAAAAAAAAGGTTAAGGTAAGAGTTAAGATTTCATACCCACAAGTACTGTAAGAAACCAAAATAACAATCGGTTACAACTAATTACCATATATTAGACAATTGGGATTAATACGAAAAAATGATTATTAGCACAAAACGTAAGTTAAGTCTAATTTATTACCACAAGTCCCTTTTTTTAATTGTAGGTCCATTTTATTCATTAAACCAAGAATGTAAGTTAAGTGCCCATGTCTTTTATTTGGTCCCATTTCATTGTTTTGTTGTTTTCTTTATAAGGATAACAAGGTCCAACTCAAAAAAATAAACGGAATTTTTTGTTAAACTATTGGGATTTACATTCTTTTTAAGGTCCAAGACAATGACCTAGTTTACTTTGGGCCAGAGCCGGTCCTGGTGGAAGGATTGTCAATTTGAGGATTTGTGATTGAATGAAATGGAGTACAAGAAGAGCAGGGAGAAGAAGGTGGACAAGGTGAAGTGAAACCCCATTTGGCCCCATTATTTCACATTATAATTAGTCTCTATCTTATTTTCAAGCATACAATCTTCCAAATAATATTAAACATAAATCGAAAACTTTTCCTCATTTTCAACCTCACATTCTTTAAAAAGCACTATTCCAAAAATTATAACTCCTAATAATGAGGGCTAAACGGGTCCAAAGTATCACTTAGTTGCTCCAATTTTGGTTGTTTGGTTTGCTTTATGTCGTGGTGGTGGAGGAGGAAAAGGAAGAAGAATGAGAAAGAAATATATTTTTTATATAAAAAGAAAAAATAATAATTTATTTGAGACTTGTTTGCACTTTAAAAAAAAATTTGGGAGTGTGATATTTTTCTTTATTTTATTTAAATATGATGGTATATTTGTCATTTTTTATTTTTGAAAAATTGGATGAAAAATAATGGAAATGATGATTTTCGCAATAAAAAAGTTAAATATAATGAAAATACAAAAAATAAATGTAAGGCATGAATGTTTTGCACAATGAACTTCAAACATAGGGACATTTTGTGCTAATAACCCATCCAAATACTACAAACTTAACTAGGACTCGACATGGTCTGATTCGGTTCAATAATAACGAGAACCAAACCAACTCAAAATTTTCGGATATTTAGTAAGTGGAACTATCGGATCCAAATTTAATTATGGAACCGTTCGGGTTCAGTTCCATTCGATTCTCAGGTTTTGTATTATAATTAAATTTTTTAATATTTATAAAGTTACATTAATTCCACTAATGATATGTTTTATTTTAGTTTTTACAAAATAACGTAGTCCAATTTTATGAGTCTTTTGCCTCTCTTTTTGCTGAGTTCTTCATAGATTTGATTGTTAAAATTACAGGAAGATGAAGATAACGAGCTCAAAATAATTAAGAGAGGCGTTGCCGAGCTTTAATTTGATTTCTCCAAAACGGTATAAACGACACTACGGTAGAATAACAGTTGGATAAAACTTAAATCAATTTGATTAAGTTGACTTTGAACTGAAAATTAGAAATAGGAAAATCATATTTTTTTGTTTGAACTAAATTAATTAGTGAACAAATTTATTTAGAAAAAATAAAATAATTTTGCTTATTTAAAATAAATTAGTTAAAAAAAGGGAGATTCAATTCTTCGGGTCTTGATCTAAAATCAAGAACCAAATCAAATCTGTTGGTTCTGGATTCAGATACCCGTTTGAATATGTAATTTAAAAAAAAAAAACCCCTCAATTTGATTCGGTTTCGGTTCGAGAGTTTTCTCCAACCCTAAATTTAACTTGTCAACTATGAGCATGTTTGGCAGAAAAATTACATTTTTATGAGTTAGAGTCTCACAAATTGTGTTTAATTAAAATTTGTACGTCTAATTTATAAGCTGAATAAGTTGGAATATATATAACATTAGGCCCATCAAAGATGCACAACATTTGAATTGAAACATATATACGTATTTAGGGTCTATTTAAGTCTCATTTTTCTCCGAGAAACATTTTAAAATAATGATTTAATGAAGAATGTAGATTAAAAAATTTTTAAAAAAATTTGAATTTACATATAATATTATTTTATTGAAAAATCTATGCTTACAAATAAGAATGAAAAAGATTATGGCCCATTTGGTACCCATTTTTTTTAAAATGTATTTTTCTTTCTTTTCTTTTCAACCACACATTCTTTATTAAAACAATATTGCACGTAAATAAATTTTTTTCTTATTTTTCAACCACACATTTTTCATCAATTTACTTTTCAAAAATATATTTTTACATAAAAATATTTCACAAACACACTCTATATTTTAAAAACAATGAAAAGGAGTGGCAGAAGAAAAGTTTCTTTCATGAACAAAAGAAAAAGTAAAATATAAGTAAAGACTTTCTTATCAAGAAGAGAGAAAAAAGGGCCGCTGAAAAATCGCCAGAAGAAAAAGAAGTCCTCTCACAAGCTCTCTGAATTAGGGCCTAAAGAGGGGATCTTTTTTCTTCCCATCGTACAAATTACAATATCTACATAGCAGATTGTGAGACGTCTGTATATATACAGGTATATAAATTTTATTTGTGTATATATGGATCAGGTATTGAACAAGGTGGGATCGTACTGGTTGGGGAAAAAAGCCAACAAAGAAATCAACTCCGTCGGCGACGATATCAACGTAAGACTAGTTTGTGTATTTTTGAATTTTTTTTGCACATTTCTTGAATTCTAGCTCTAGTCAAGGTCATTTGGATTTTTGAATCTGTGATTTTTTTAAGGGATTGATTAATGATCCTAATAATGGTCTTGGAATATTTAAAGTTCGATATTATGGTATAAAAGTCACGATCTCTTGAGTAATTTTGACTATATTCACTTATTTATTCATTCGGGTTTTCAGATGGTAGAATTGAGATATTTCTGACTATAGGTTGCATTTGGAATAAATAGTATGGCTATCTAGCATACTTTTCAATACAAATAGAGATCTCTAGGGGTTATTTTTTGGGATGACACATTCGTTGCACCTTATTTTTTTCTAATTCGCCCTTATATTAAATTACATGATTGCAAGAACTGAGTAGAGAGAAAATTGTGTGTAGCCTGAGCAAGTACTTTTCAGTTCACTAGAAACTGGTGAAAATGCTACTGAGAGACGTACACACTTTGAAGGACCATCTGTTTTATTTCAGAGCTCTTGACTTGAGGAGATTTTGAGATCAGATGCACTAAGAATTATTTGAAGTAATTGGATTTCATTTAACTTTTTTACTGGATCAGGATGTTTGGATATTAAATAGACTAGGAAAGAACTGTTTCAGTGTAAAGAAATTTTTTGTTTTCAAAGATTGAATAGGAAATGCAGAGGTCATGTCAAGTTTGGGCCAATCATTTCTCTCCCGTGCAATTTTTCCAGTGCTAATATTTTGTTTCAAAGTTCAGAATTTCTGGCAATCTTGTAGTGCGGATTTGGCATCCATAGTACAAGTATCAGAGAGTTTAAGCTTTATGAAGAATTGCAGCATGGTTGGCGTTATCTTTTCTATTCAGCAATGTCAAGTCTAATTGCTGAAATTGCCTCACGTACAAATAAGTTAATACTTGATGAGTTTCATGCACTTCCGCTACTTTTTACAGAGAATGATAATTCTTGGATGAATAAATTGGTTATAAGTTTAAATGAACGAAACTAGATGTTATTTCTTAATGTGATTGATAAGAAATTTCCCCCGTCCATTCGGGAATGCGCACACTCTTATCTATTATATATCGACTCTGCGAGTAACTAAGTTCATCCGAGGGGAACACTATCGCTTTCAATAGTATCTTTACCATCATTACAGTGCTTTTCTTTCTCCTTGTTGTTGATTTTTTTTTTATTGACATGTGTGTTTTATGTGATGATTAGTCCCTGTCAGCCAGTATTGAAGGAGGAGCCAAATGGTTGGTTAACAAGTTAAAAGGTTTGTTTTATTTTCCTTCTATTTGCTCTGCCTTTTCACTTTCATCATTCTGCTGGTTGTTGATGGGCATAATACCTTTACTGCTCAAACCCATGCTAATCTTCATTTCTGCAGACTATATCACATGTTTAAGTTTAAACTGCGGAAGCTATAACAACTGGAAAAAACTGTCAAATTTTCTTATTACTTGATGTATAAGGTGTTTGAAGCATCCTCATGCTCCACCGTTACTGGCTTCGATAAGAATATTGATTAGCTGCATGAAGTTAGAGCATCTCCAATGGTGCTCTTCTAAATTGGATCCCAATTGTGATTTAGATCTGCAAAATGATTGGAAACCTCTCCAATAAAGAGATTCAAAGGAAATGCAAAGGGTATTTTCCAGCAGAATGTAAATTTACATCTTTTTTACATTGACCCGTTGGACCCACAAGAGACAATAAACTACCAACCCACTTGCGTACAATTTTTTTTAGATCTTTCCAGTGGAGAAGAATTTGATGTTAGATCCACTGGAATGTAAATGGGGATGTAAAAGTGGTTTTGGATATGCTAATTTACATTCAATTTTACACTACTATTGGAGATACTCTTAACATCTAAATTTTATGTAGCTACTTTAAGCTCCCTTGAATATCCGTTAGGAATCTGAAACACATTTTGACGATAATAATGGAAGGTTTTTTCTTAAGAAGCACACCATAAAAGTAATGGACTAATGGAGGGCGCTATATGATTCTATTTAGTGTTTATGTAGTCCCTTTTGTAATATTAGATAATGATAGTTCTAATGTGTTACCAGTTTGTAAAATTGTTTGAGAAGTTATATTTTGGTAGTTGGAATTCACCGTATTTATCATCTCTGGAAAATTTGTATGCTCAGGAAAAATGCAAAAGCCATTGTTGGAGCTGCTGAAGGAATATGACATGGCTGTAGGCATTTTCCCTCGTGATGCCACCAACTATGAGTTCAATGANTAGCCATCAAGACTCTATTACCAGATGAATGTGAGTTACTTGAGTGCAGTATTCAGCTTGTCGGTTTTCGCTTTAGCTAATTTCAATCCAGATTCGATTGGTAAAACAAGTACAAGATGGCATATGACCGGCGATTGAGGCCAGTCGGTTGGTGGCTGCTCGAAAATGTTGCATCTTTAACTGTGCAGTTTCAAATCAATTGGGAGTTTCAATTGCAATACGAATTTCATTTTCTAAGTGTTTTGGCAACAAAATACCGTGTGCTGACCCTTCATTGCCTTCTAAACATGTTTTCTTTGTTTTAAAGAAATAAAGTTGGGATCATTCACGTAATCTTGTATCTTTTGCCTTTAATCCATATAAATTCTGCAACACTAGAATCAATTTCCGCTAATGTAACAGTAACACCTACCATGGAAATTCCTCAAATATTGAAGTTACGTAGAGCAAAAACCATCGGCTAATGTGAGAACTTGGGAAAGGGAAAATTATAAATGCACCAGCCGGGAATCGAACCCGGGTCTGTACCGTGGCAGGGTACTATTCTACCACTAGACCACTGGTGCTTGTTGTTGGATCAACTGCAACCATTTTTATAGAAATTAAAATGTAGAAACCGCTCAAATTTTTCTTTAAATTTTAAATAAAACAGAATTTGTATATATTGAAATTAATATCAGCCCTACTAATATTCTATCAATTTGTAATTTAATTTTTTTTCCTATCTTGTTGCAAATATGGAATGGAGAAAGATATAAAGGTTAAACATATAGTTTGATTAGGAGTAGACAAAATGTTCAGATCAAACCAAATTGAGCGATTCGGTTCAATTTTGCCAAAAATATTAATAATTTTGGTTCTTTGAAGCAAGAATTATTTGGTTTTGATTCGATTTTAGTTCTAGAACAAGAACTTAAACCAGAACCAAACTTAAATAATTAATTTTATTTATATATATTAATTAATGGATCTCTAATTTTGTATTAACTGGGGACATCCCATTAATTAGATATAGCTCATTAATGGGTTCTATGTCTTTGGAGACATCTAATTAATTTTGTACACCCTAGCTTTTTATTATTTTTAAATCATTTATACTTCACTCATTTTCAATTTACACAACACTGCGGCAACTTGGCACCGCATTTCATCACATCAATGGAGGAGACTCCTTCAAAATCGGGAAATGAAATTGGTCAGTCATTTAAAAAGCCTTTGTACTATTTTGTTATTTTTTATTTTATTTTTTTTTACCTTGGTTTTTTGATGAATTATTTGTGTTCTTCACAAATAGTGGAAAATTCAATAAACATTCATGGAGTAGTAAATAATTAATGGTTGCCTGTGAAAGTGGATGGTAAAATTTTTGCATAATTCATCATTTATTGTTGATGTTTATCATCAAAACTGTTGCAGTTACTGAATAATTGCTATTATTTATTAAACAATCTTTTGCATGAGAATGAAAAACTGATTTGTGTATTCAAATAATTACTATATTTGTTTGTTAGTTTAGACTTTTGTGATCTCGATGATTGATAAGTTAAATTTGTTGAATATCCAATGTTGTTTATTATTATTATTATTATTATTATTATTATTATTATTATTATTATTATTACTAACTTTGAAAATTTAAGAAATAAAAGAAGAACCAAACCAAACAAGAGCAGAACGGTTCCATATTTTAACAAAAACCATTTGATCCATTATTAAAAAAATTATCAGTAGAGTCTTAAAAATTCGTTTTAAAAGATAAATAATGCGGATTAAGAGATAAAATTTCTAATTTTTACGACCTAAACTCAATCAACCAAGTATGAAAGGATTATCATTTTTCTAGAAGTATATTCTCACTTCATTCAAGCTCCGAAGCCCCGTCAAAGGATATGACTAGTCATGATATTACTTATTAGGGTCCGTTTCATTGCAAAGATGGAATTTAGGTGAAAAAAATGAATTTCAGGGAATTGAATTGATGATAAATTGTATTTTTGAGAATTGTAAATTATTGTGTCTGATTGGTATAATTTTTCACGTGAAAAATGTTTAAATTAAAGTATTTTTTGATGTTTGTTCGGCTTCGTTTTACATGATAATTGTCAATTAAAGGGAAATATTTTTTTACAATAATTCTTAGAATTTGTTTCTATTGCAAAAAAATAAAAAAATAAATCGCTACATTCGAATTCGAATTCGAATTCCATGAAAAGTTGGAAAATTGCTTCTTTCCAAGAAAACCAAGAAAATGAATTCATTAGGAAAAAAGGGCTATCAATAAGTCAAAAGATGGAAAATGAAATTGATTTAACTCAATCAAACAAGGCCTTACAATTTCCTGGTATGTACCATGTAGAGACAAAAACTGAAGGGTCCCACTTAGTGTGAACGCATTACCAAATGCCAAGATACCTTTTCGATTTGGGGTCTTCCTTGATATTTCCTTGGTACCACTATATTTCGGATCAGACCACGAGCCTGCCACACGCCCTGTCCATGTGGCCCCATTGTCACATTCCACGTGTCGGAATCTCAACGGCCAAGATCACTTTCCCACTTCTATATAATTCTTCCACACCAATTCCCTCAAATCATACCTTGAATTCATCTTCTTTAATCAATTCTTACATTGTTTTCTTTTCTAAGATCTGTTTGAGTTTGCCTTCTTCACATAATGTTTCTTGAGGCAATCTCAGCTGTTTCTGGTTCGGGTTTACGGACCTTGTCGAATTCGACTGTCTTTTTGAGCCCTTCGTCTTCTAGTTTGAGTTCTTCGTCTTTATCGAATCTTGTTTTGCCAAAAAAAGGCGAAAATGGGTTCGCAGTTTATGCTGAAAAGGGTAGTTTGCAACTCACAGGTGTGGTGTTTCAGCCATTTGAAGAGGTTAAGAAAGATGATTTTATGGTCCCAATAGCTCCTCAGCTTTCACTTTCTCGGCAGAGATTCTCCGAAGAGTGTGAGGCTGCAATTAATGAGCAAATCAAGTGAGTTTTCAACCCCTTTTTTCACTTCGACTTTTATTAAGGATCTAGTCGTTTTGGATCTTCTAGTAAATCTAGCAATGAACTGAATAAATGGGAAACAGGGATTCATGTAGTCGATCTCAAGTTTAAGGAAAATGAATCCGGTCCATTATTGAAAATTCGGCTTTAGAAATATCAACATCTTATTTTTTTTTTCCTGTATTTCATGTCTGAAAATTCTTGTACTTTGAACTATTGCTTCTACTAACATATTGATCTTCTCTTTTCATTTTAGCGTGGAGTATAACGTGTCATATGTGTATCACTCCATGTACGCGTACTTTGACAGGGACAACGTTGCTCTAAAGGGCCTTGCCAAGTAATTAAAACAGTCTCAAATGCCTTATAGAATTTCAGTTACTCTCTGTTTTCCCCTTTTCCTGACTTAATCGAATGTGCCATGGTGTTTGGACAGATTCTTTAAGGAGTCGAGCGAAGAAGAAAGAGAGCACGCAGAGAAACTAATGCAATACCAGGTAAACGGTCCAGCAATTAAAAGAAATATTTTGTAAAAAATGAGCTTTGTTTATTGATTTGAATGCATATATGATACGATTTTCTATTCGTCTTGATGAATAATAGAACATACGAGGAGGAAGGGTGAAATTACATACGATGCTAATGCCCCCGGAGGAGTTTGATCATGTTGAGAAGGGTGATGCTCAATATGGTAAGTAAAGTTTTGTTTTGTATTTTTTCCACCCTCGAGACACATTAGACATGATTAAGGAACAGAATTGTCAATTATGTTATCGAGTTGTCTCTAATGTATAGTTATTTTCTTGATACAGCCATGGAACTTGCTCTGTCCTTGGAGAAGTTAACTAATGAGAAACTTCTGAACCTGCACAGTGTAAGCATTCTCCAACCTCTTTTGACATGTTTGGTACGTTGTACTGAACTGAAAAATGACAAAGTGACGTCTAATTTATGGAACCAAACATGTAGTTTATGTTTTTTTATCTTATGATAGTCTCATCTAATTCTAGCAGAAGCTAAGGTATTAATCACTTGTTCTTGATGAAACAGGTTGCTGATCGAAACAATGATCCCCAGATGGCAGATTTCGTAGAGAGCGAATTTTTGGAAGAGCAGGTAAATTGTATACTCTGTACGCACGCCCGTTTTACTGATATATGAACAAATGAATTTAGAAAAGAACATCTTTATTTCAATAATGTTCGACTTTTCCAGGTTGAAGCCATTAAGAAAGTAGCAGAATATGTTACTCAATTAAGGATGGTTGGGAAAGGACACGGTAAGAAAACTTCGTCTTCACTAAAGCATATTCTTCTCTACAATTAGATCATTTTCTTCTTATTATTGAGAAGTACTTGTTCATATATGTGTAGGAGTGTGGCACTTCGACCAAAAGCTCCTCCACAATGGCCATGGTGCAGTATGAAGATGCCTCGTATTGTTTGTTCTTGATTTTAGTCAGCTTTTGTCTCTCTCGTATCAGTCCTCAGTTGTAATAAGTTGTTAGTTTATGGAATTGTTATTTTCTAAACGAAGTTGTAGGTTGGAAACATGTCTGAGAAATTGAAAATCTTGTACTTGAATAATGTTTGATCAAATCTTTGTTTGAAGTTAATGCTCTATGTACTAATCGCATTCTATATTTCATAAATAAATGACGCTGGCAGTGCCTAATCCAAGTGATCTTATGGAGCAAGTGTTGTTTGTGCCCTTATTTCTTTGTGTTACAAATACATCAACAATAGCAGTCGAGTTTTATCTGCTACTGTCATTACTATAAAATTAAGACGAGGCCTATAATAGAAGCTGAAAGAGAGGCAAGAAGACGTGTATCCCAGTTGCCAAATCAATCCATATTATCCAGTACTATCTAATCCTCGTACTGATCATGCCATCCAGTGCTCAAATTGGTCGGAAACAAAATCTCCAGCACAGAACTTTCTTTCTATGTTTTTTGTTGTGAGAATCAAGAGGGAACGAAGAGTGTATCATCTCCCACATAACCTCTATGTCTCTATATCCTGCACAATCCTCCATGTCCTTGTAAAGTGTAACCATCCCTTGCCCTTTTCCTGTTCAGAAACAGAAATGATTTGAGGCTGTCATTACCACCAAAACAAAGTACCAAGCCTTAATTCTTGAAATCTAACAATAATATTAACCTTCCAAACATCCTTAAATGGAAGATTAAGGTATAAAAATCCAAGCCCACCTCCAAAATTCAATTCATCGAATTATTTATGTTCGAAATAGTATCCAAATGCTTTTTTACTCCTCATTCAAGTAGCAGCTTCCAAGGGGGCGCAAGGAAGGAACTCCCTCGGTAAGTTGCCTCCAAGAACGAGTCTTTCTTTTCTTGGACGCTGAGGAGACATAAGTACACACTAATGGAACACAAAGTTATAACACAAATGGATTCATCATCATGGAAATCACGACGATGACCATGCTTGTGAGAATCAGTTCATCTTACCTTTGGCTTTATGTCTGAAAATTGTAGTAACGTTAACAAGTACATCCTTTCTTGTTGAACAAAGAAACGAGTTTCTCAAACTAAAGCACTGCCAAAATTTTCTACTCACCATTTCCTCAAACACCATTTTTCATCATTGTCTATATATATTATTTCATTTTTCATTCACTTAAGCCCAAATTTATTAGTTAAAGTTTATTGCACTAAACAACAAAAACCATCCGACATAGCAGAAAGCAACAAGCACCAAGACAAAAAGCCTTAAAAATTCAATAATCTTAAATGAATTCATTCATAAATCATAAATGAGAAAGCTCTAGTGGGACAGTATAATTTGATCCAGATTTTTCCTCTTATTAAGCTAAATATAAAAAGATTAAGCAAGAATATATTAATTTCGTTTCAAAACTTATACAAAACATGGTCTACCACCCCTTGTGACCACGTTGACTTTACAACGAAGGTTAAACTGCAATCGAGAGAGGAAAAAAAGAAGAAGAAGAAGAATAAGTAAATAGTATAGCTAAGCTATATGCAATCCAAGATTTCCTCATGATTAAGCTAATATAAAATAAGATTAAGAAAGAATTAGATTAATTTTTTAAGAACGGAGATGAATTTGGAGAAAGTTGTGATAGAAAAAGAAGAGTTTAATGCGAAGAAATAGACGTTTTGAGTAGGAGCAATTGGTTTGGAATTTTGCTTTTCCTACTTATTTGTCCAACCAAAGATTCTCAAATTTATTGCTCAGGAAGGTAAAGACAGGCCCCACAGTCAAACGGTACTTTTGGTTTTTCCTCCAATGGCTTTGTGTTTGTGTGGACTCTTGCCCTCACTTTCACACAAGATTAGTCCATCAATAATGTAATAGTTTGATTAGAAAATTTAGTAAGAAATTTGAGTTTTGGGAGTGGCATTGTAGAGTCCACCGTGGTCCTGAAAAAGAAAAGTTTGTGCCTGTTCAAATTCATTTGCACGCTCAAATGCGTTGTCACGAGTCTAGGACTTAACATATCGAATAAGTTTGACTAATTGTTACGTAATGCTATTAGATTGGGGTAAGTGGATTCAAATCAAACGCACATCAATCTACAGCACAAAGATTACGCTGCCACCATGTGTCGATTCATGGACTTCATTTACTTGTGTCAAATGGCCTAAACCCCGAACTCATGAAGATGAACCTCATCAATAAAAGTTGTCATTTTTTATATTCAGCACTAACCTTGATTCGAACTACAACATAAATCCTACATTGCGCAAATGGAACCCCATCAAGCATTTGGATTCGAGCAGGTAAAAGTAAAAGCTAATGTTAACACGTTCTCTCAAACTTTGATTTTTTTTTATTATTATTTTTTTTATTTTTATCAAGGTGTCTACCTTCGACAACTATTCCTTGGGTCTGTGATCCGGCCCCTCTTCACACAGACCAATTAAACCGCGAGATGTGCCTCCTATTGACTAGGGTCCGAACGCCTCTCCAACTGAACTGCTAAAGTGCCTAGTGAGCCAACCCACGTTGCGCCTTGCCTTCCAAGACATTCTTGCCTTCCAGGATAAATCCTGCCTTCCAGTATATGCATTGCCTTCCAAGAGTCCCACGAATCGAACCCACGACCTCTGAACTGCCAGCCTTGAGAGAACCCTTCCTTTACCAATGGAGAAGTGCCCCGGGGGCAAACTTTAATTTTATATCTAAGCTGACCTGTTCAGTGACCAACAACTTAGTGTATGTTCTCTTTCTTGTTCATCTTCCAACTCTTTCTGTCGTAAATCTAATTCACCATCAGCAGCACCTTCAGACTCTGTAGCGGTAGCTTTCTGCTTGTAAATATCAATCTTCTTATGATAATCCAAGGCATGCAAGATTTACGGTTAGTAAGATAAACAACTCAAGCTACAATTTTCTCATCTGTGCGGCATAAAATTTGGTCCAAATCATATTAAGGGCACCCAGATACTCATAGTGTAATCAAAAACCATTTTCCACGTGATGTAACATAACTCGAAAAGCGAAAACACAAACGCATATTTGTCTATCAAACCACCATACCAAAACATAGACTCATGTAACCTAGCATGTTTGGCAGATATTAAGAGTTACTTGAACTTCTTTATTTTTATAACCTGTTAGGTAGGATATGTTAGAAAAAGATACTAGTTATTTAAGTAATGTAAGTTGTAAGAGTTAGGTTCGAAAATAGTAACCTAGCTATTTTCACTTTTTACTCAGAGAAATGTTATCTATTGTAAAAATTACTTATTTACTTATAAGTAAACTTACTAATAATTAACCAACAAGCTAACACAAAAACTGAAAATTCTAATTTAAATCTGGCACCCTGGGAAAAGCAAGTCTAATGGCAGTAAGCATACCGAATGAACAACAAATCAATTACGTAATGTACCCAATTCCTCGCTGGTATCTGCTGAATCAATTGAAATAATTGGCTTTTGAAACAATAGCTTCGTACAAGCATAGAACAGAAAAATATTTGATGCAAAAGCAAAGGACTTATTCTAATCATGCAACTATACATTTAACTCCATCTTTGTAATAGGTAGCAGTTATATCACCCAGCAACGACAAGAAATTAACACTGAAATAGCCTATTAACTTAATATTCAAATTTCCTCATCACCAAATAACTAGAACCCCCCTCCGCCCACCCAGCCAACCTAAAAATGCACAGTACACTTTAATTAATTGACAACGGTGTAAAAACAAAAATAAATGAGAAAAATTGGACCTCGAATGGATTTCTGAGCGTGATTGAAATCTTGGTCACATTAGGATTGGAGGGTTTCGAATTGCTGCAAACATTGTTTCAAGCAATTGAAATCCTTATCGCCTCTCAAGATTTGTACTATGTTGTTACTGCGTACTTTATTAATTCTCCCGTGTCAATATTCCTTGATGTTCTTCCCATTTCTGAATTTAATGAAATCTAGGGTTCTTTTGATTTTTCTATGCAGAAATCATTAACAGAAAGCTGTGTAGAGGTTTGGGGGGCATAAATTGCATGAGTTTAAACAGTTCCTTGTTGGAATAATTAATAATTTCATACGTGGGCTTTACGTTCGATTGCAAATTTTACGAGTTAGATGTATAGTTCATAATGATATTTGTATTTGACTCAAATTTATTAAGCGATCAATTGGGCCTTTTACACCTTACGAGTTGTAATTAATTTGATGTGGTAAGTTAAAGTATGTGAGCCGAAGATAAACTTTAATTAGAATTCTAATCATAATGGGACGGCTCAATTATTTCCTATATAAAGGATAGGTCTCCTCTCCTCTCCATAAGTTTTCTATCGGCTTACCCCATTGATAGCTAATACTTTTGTGAGGAGTAAGGAGGGGAAGATCTTGGCTGCTATTATAACTATCATTCATATCAACAATAGCTTCCGCATGTATGAATTCGTTTCTATTAATTTATTGGACTGTGATTATCGATTCTTAATATGATTAAAACTAAATATTAACAATTGGTATCAGAGTAGCATGTTAAGATCGAAATCCTTCATGAAATTTTTTTCTTATCTCACTTTGAAAAACGTCTTCTGTGTATACATTAAAATTATATGTGTCATTGAATTAATTCGTTTTTCCTTCACGTGGTTGAGTAACCCGCAAGCAGGAACAATAAATGCTTTCCCTCTCTCTCTTAATTTATATATATATATA